GATAAGCCCATGCCCCATGATGATTCCCTTGACTTACATCAACCTTGAAGCTGCTCTTACCTACAGAGGGGGAACATTGTGAGCTTAGAGTGCCATCCTAGACTAAGGTTACCAGATTTTTTTAATGAATCCGGGGACACTTTTCAAATTCAATGGATTTTGTATGGGGACTGATTTGTAAATCTAGGGACTGTCCCCGGGAAATGGGGACATCTGGTAACCTAATCCTAGACATATCTGCTCAGAAGTGGGAGTTTTAATCCAGCAACATCTGGAGGGTCTCAGGTTCTTGCCCTGTCCCAAAGTTTTCCCTTCCATGGCTGAGGCTCCACACCACCAATTTAAATACACCCAAAATAAACTGTGGTGAGCAATACAGTGGTACCTCTAGTTACAAACTTAATTCATTCCGGAGGTCCGTTCTTAAACTGAAACTGTTCTTAACTAGAGGCGTGCTTTCACTAATGGGGCCTCTTGCTGCTGCTGTGCTGCCGGCACACGATTTCTGTTCTCATCCTAGGACAAAGTTCTCAACTCAAGGTAACTCTTCCAGGTTAACAGAGTTTGTAACCTGAAGCGTTTGTAACCTGATGCGTTTGTAACTTGAGGTACCACTGTACTCACAAAGCTGATAACGCCTTGAAGCAGAGAGGCAGTGGCAAACAGGGCTGCTCTGTGACTAGATAAAAACATTGGCTTGACCTGCCCCTGTGCCTGATCAACAGAAATCAGCAGAGGAAGCTGACGGCACTGATGCGGTTAAAGTGACAGGGACTGACAAACCACTCAAGTGGCAAATTATGTCCTATAACAGTAAGGAAAGTCAATACTGAATGGTCCAAAAATATGAAAACACACAAAGCATTGTCTTGGCTATTCATGGGTGCTATTGCTTTCCATTGATATTCTCAAGGCCCTCACCCAAAGTTGGAGCCTCTCAGACTGGAATGTCATGAAGTGCAAAGGGTCTGCTGCTGTAGCATCATGCTGGTTGTCCGTTCATAATAGAGCAAGGATTTTGTTGTAGTTTTTTGTTAAGTGTAAACTTGGTTTTTCCCCTATGTAACATCTAGAGGTGGGAAACTGAACACCTTGTGCACTGTTATCCCACTGTTTTCAGTGAGTCAGAATCCCCCAGAGAGTTCTCTCATGCATGCCTCACTGATATAAATGGGAAATGAGATTACCCTTCCTCCTCCCCAAGACAGACAGAAAGACACACACACACACACACACACACAGAGAGAGAGAGAGAGAGAGAGAGAGAGAGAGAGAGAGAGAGAGAATTTTCTCTGTTTAACGTTAATTATTCCAACTTGCTACCGGATCAAATTCAAATGAACAGGCTAATATCCATGAAAACAGCCCTTCCCCTATATTAGTCAGAGAGACACAAAGAAGGCTGATCTATTACTGACACGTTGAGTTAATGAGGTTTTAAAAGAGAAATAAAAGCTATATATAAAAATAAAAGCTATATATAAAAATGTCATCTGCCACTGCCATCTCCTGGGAGTCTAGACCTAGAAAAATCTTTTGAAGTTGTTCTGAAATTCTTGAGTTTTCCAAGGGATGTTTCTTTTGATTATGTGTTCTGCTTGACATGAGTGATATATTGAGCACTGCAACTTGTGCCTGGGTAATGCTGGTTTACAAAGACAGCTGGAAATAAAATGGAACAGTCAGCCAAGCTGTCCTTTAAACTGATGACAGGGAAGAAAGACACAGTTTGATCCTCAATATATCTAAAGGGTAACAAGGAACCGAGGCAGTATTTGCTTTATTGTTGTATACTCCCTGGTGGAACTCCTAGAACAAAAGCAGCGGGGTCTGTTTAGGCATAATGGTTTCTGTCCAATAAACTATGGCTGTACACTTTCCCTTTAGTATCTCCCCAATCACTTTGCTCGTGCATCAGACTTAAAAGACTCCCGGTGCTTGTTAAACCACGGTTTCCTATTATAATCAAATAAGGAAACAGTGGTTTAATCTCTACTTACTAACTGCAATGAACCCAGAATCAGCTATCCTTAGTCCTAACAAGCAATTGAAGGGAGAGAGACAGGGGTGATGGGGGAAGATGACATGTGGATACAATGCTCAATCTTGGTCAGCAGTTGTTAGGTCTGACACAACATACAGTTAATTTATGGAATTCACTGCCACAAGATATGGTGATAACTAGTATCTCAGGTGGTTTTAGTAGGGGATTAGACAAATCCATGGAGGATGGGCCTACAAATGGCTATATGCAATGATAACTATACGGAGCCTCTAGGTTCAGTATGCTGCTAAATAACATAGAATCATAGAACTGCAGAGTTGAAGGGACCCTGATGGTCATCTAGTCCAACCCCCTGCAATATGGAATTTTCTTTATGAATGCTAACTAAGTTAAAGCTATGTAGGCTCAGGGTGGCTTCTTACTTTTAGCAAGCTCCTTTCTGTGGAAAGACAGCATACAAATAAAAGTATGATATATCATTAAACCTGACTGATTTGAGGCAGTGGTTATCAATTTTTATTTTGTTGATATTATAGGACTCTTTAGTCCACAGCACTGATGCGCTTTTCAATTACAGTGCTCACCCCTGAGACCATGCCATCTGTCACTGAGCTAAATACCTCTTCCCCATTAAATACTGCCATCATGGCTTTCCATAAATGCCATCTATTCAATTTTATTTTCACCCCAGTAACCTTGATTACTTCTGGTTAACTCCAATCGCTCTGTTGAGGGTAGACTATATGCTTCTAGCTCTCCAGGCCAAATAATAAAGATTAGAAATATGATGATATGCTGTGTAGCCTTGGAATGCAAAGGAAACAGACAAGCATATTTTGTTGCATATAAAAAGTCCCATCACTTATCAACCAGTCTGATGAAACGAGGGAGCTTAGTTGGTCATTTGTGGTAAGTAATGCTTCCCATATTATTATTATCATGAGGAAGACATATTATCTCATTTCTGCACGCAGGCTTAAGAAAAACAAAGGGGGAAGTTCCCAGCTTGTATTCAACTTTGACCATCTTTTGTGACACAATCCTGATTCCTGCACAAAAAGCAAATGGGAACCTTCCCCTCATTTTCCCTGTAAAGTTTATACGATGGACGGATCAAGAACAGTGGCTAGAGATGTTGCAAAATGGGCATGCAAAGAAAAGAGGTGGGGACAGCACCCCTGGGCAGGGTTGGAAGTTAAGAGTAGTAGCTATGCAAGGGCACAGAAACAGAACATGGAGCTCCTTGCCTCTTCAAGGAGCCCATTTGTTGTTCCCTTGCTGTGTAGTCAGAGACCTATATAAGAGTGCCAGGAAGAACAGACCTGGGAATTTTTGTGAGAAAAAGGACCCTAAACATCCTTCACTATTTTTAGCCTTCAGTGTTGCATTTAGCTTGGTTTGAGTCATCTGCTTTACTCTACTCAGTTCTTCCTTGCCCCCAGCTATGTATGATGTGGATCATCTTGTGTGCTTCTAAATGTCTGCTTTTGTAGCACTATCATCTAGATTACATTATACATGTGATGAGGGCAGAAGAAATGTTCATATTTGGGGTTTCTGCATGCCGGTTTAAGTACTATAAATCTGGTCACATTCCATATGACAATAAAAATGATGAAATTTTGGGTTTTATTTTGCACCATGCAGTCATCTTTAAACTCATTTTTCCTGTATGAATTTGGGCACCATAATATAAGGAAGCTACTGTGTGGTAGATGTCAAAAATGATGCACTTAACAATGTACCTGTGATTCTTGCATTGCAGAAATTGGACTAGATGGTCACTTTGGTCCCTTTCAATGCTACAACTGTTGGTGAGCAGTAGAGACCCCTTCCCTGACGCTTGCATTCCCTCAACCCATGGCCTGGCGCTTTAGTCACACTGAAGTTTACATAACAATGATGTTAATACAGTATAATATAAACTAAGTTCTCTCTTAACCAACAGCCTCAAACTTGGGACTCAGCTATACAGCTGCAAATAAAATGTTTTAAGTGTGTTTTAAGTACAATATACAATGTGACACTAGATGGTGAGCCTTATGGAAAATTCATTTATTTTTAAAAACGCTTTTTTTAAAAGCATCTTTGGAACATTTTTAAATATGTATGTAGATTCCACCTTGGGCATCACTTCCTAGTAAAAAGGACTAGTGATTTAAATACAGTGATGAAGCAGTATTTAAACTAATATTCAAGCCAGATAAGAGGAGGAGGAGGGTGCCATCCCATGTCCCGTTCCCGATCTCTTAAGCACTGTGGAGAGATTACAGCATTACGTCTGATAAAAGTGACAACAAGTGATGGAGCCCAAACTGGGAATATTAAGAAGTATCATAATAGATAAGAAAATAAAAGAGCATAGTAAGAGCAGGGTCTGCATTCAATGAAGACAGGGGTTGCTTTGAATTTAGGGTGGGGAACCATCTCTCTTTCAAAGAAAGGTGAATAAAAGGAAACTCAGTATCTGGGAAGAAAGCAGAAAGTACTTCCAGACTGTCACTATTTTTGAGTAGGATTCGATCACATACTGGCATATTCAGTTTGTGAAATTATAACCGGTTAGTAGACCTTCTACAACAAACCTGCTTTCCCCAAAGATCAGAACTTTTCCAATATCAATAGCAACAGGGGGAAAAAACACTGGAAAATGTGGGATAACACTTGCTTTGATGCAACATCTTCTAACCTCCCCAGAAACAAATCAGAATGAATGGTCATTAAGTAACTGGTATCGTCACTATGCAAACCAATCAGGATGGACGCTCAATAAGCAGATGGTCTGGAAGCACCCAAAATCAAGGCAGGATCAGCAATTGGAGGCTTTGTGGTCAATTCTGGCCAAATACTAAACAACAGCTGTCTCCCACCATTGCTGTCCAGAGGCAAAATATGGAGATCAACCAATGCCAGTAGCAATAGGACTTACTGGCAGACTACTTATGACAATAGAAGGAAAGGCCACACCCACCACACTCCATTGTCTCCTTAGACTGACTCTCCCAGGAAACTAGAAACAGCAGGAGTAGAAAGGGAGGCTAAGAAGATAATTGAGATGTAACAGTATCTTGCCGGCAAACGGGAAAAGCTTTGCGAAACATATTAAACATGCTAGTTCATTCATATATAATGATTCATTTTGTAATTTGAAGCTGATAAAGCAGATGAACAAATACAAAAGTGTACTCTTACCATCCACAGCTAATGAGACAACATTTTGGGTATCTTCAATTCCATAGATGACATCGCAGCGGTAAACCCCAGCATCGCTTGCCTGCAATTTCTCCATAGTCAATGATGCATCACCAATGTCTTCCCAGTTGCTCGGAACAGACACCCTGTCTTTGTAGCCTCGCTCTAGCTTGACTTTCCCATTCTGGGCCACCAAAACAGTGGTTTCTCTTAGATCTTTTCCGCCTTTATCCTGTTCGATCTTTGACCACTTAATCCGGAAAAGTTCATTTGAACTGTGGTAGTTAGGCAAAGTAGGCAAGGTCGAAAAGAAGCAAGGGAGGATGACTTTTCCAGAGAGCGAGCCCTTCACTGGTGGGCTTTTTTCTGGAAAAGAAAATAGCATATAAGTGAGCTGGCAAAAGCTGATCTACACAAAATCAACAGAGACTTAAAATTCAAGCAACAATAGCCCCCTTCTATTACTACAGCTGAAAGTGTGCAGCAATTGGTTGATTCAAACAGCTGTCTGACATGTCACATTGGACCATAGTTTAAAACTTTGGTTATCACTTATGGTTTATTTGAAGGAAACAAACCATGGCCCCAGGTTTGGGCACAGCCATAGGAAGAGAAGTGTAGGAGCATATTGTTTTAATGGCTTTTAAATTGTATTTTTGTATTTTATTGTCCTGTAAATTGCTTCAGGACTCCTTTGAGGCATGCGACATGATATATACATTTAATAAAATTAACATCTGGAAGACTGAAAGTTGCCTATCCCTCTTCTGAGTGAGGCCCTGTATGACAAATAGAGCCTCATAAAACCCAGCCACTGAAAAATAACATTGCGTTTAAAATATGGAATCTCAGTTATGGGGGGGGGGTCCCCTTTACAGGAAGGAGTCACCCCAGGATAGCATTTCTATGTAATATAAACAGCAACCCATATACATAGGCATTGTCACTTGTTATCTTCTCATCATCCCTTTTGTCTTAAGTCGTTAATTTAAATCCTTGGAGCAGGGCAGTCACTCAAACCCCTTGACACATTAAAAGAATGAGTACACAGCACATAGCCCAAGTTCTGCCAACCAGGAACTGGGTGACTGTGGGAATGGCCCTACATGAACAAGAATCTCCTTCATGAGGGGGGTTCCTGACCACATGTGTACAGTCCCTTCCCACAGCCATCCTATCTGAAATACAGCAGGAAGAGTGGCCAATGGGTACATTGATGGCGGCGGTGAGAACCAGCCTGCACAGCCCAACAGCTCCCGCACAACTCTTACGCCGCGTGAAAGGGTCAGTGAGAATTCCCTCATATTTGCAGCATAAGAGACCACAGTAACACCAGCGATATCCAATGGCCAAGCCTAATTTCACTGAGCTCGATACAGGCTGGTAATGCAGCCCCTCTTTCCCATGGAGAATGGCCGGGACTGATACAGATTGAAACGAGGGTCCCTTCCTCACTCTCTTCCAGCAAAAGGCCTTGTCTGTTTTGAAAAAAATGGGAGATTAATTCATACAGGCGACAAGCATTTTAGACTCGTCCAAATTGCCAACACATGGATCCTTTTGGGTCCAGAAAAGGGAAGAATGGGGGCAGAAAAGGGAAGAATGGGGGCAGAAAAGGGAAGAACAGAGTGGGGCACACTTATGCGCACACTGCCGATATCACGCAGGGGCTGGGGACGGAACCACCATGCGAAATTATTGTCACCTGCATGAATTAGTTTCTTCAGGTCCCTTTATTAAAGCTTCATGTGTGTCAGGCTCCCTAGCAACACAGGGCAATATCAGATGTATGTATATAACTCATACCCAAGAGCCCTGACAATTGCCATTTCAGCACCATTCTTTGTCCCTTCGATCAACGGTCCGTGGCTCCGTGAAATTTTTAGACAGAGGTCTACCTCATGTGCTCACCTACTTCCTGGGCTCAGTAAATATTTTCAGCAGCACTGGCTCCTCCTGTGACTAATTTCTCCCTTCCACTGCCATGCCCTGTTGGTTTCTCCAACCTGTGCACAGGAAATGCCTACAGGAACTATGGATCACTAGGAGTTGTAGTTCTTGAGAGGGCATGACACAAAGGAGGACATACTTTCCTTTGTGTTTCAAACTACAAATCCTCTCTCTCTGACTCCACATTTACTCAGTAATTGAATGCAGACGTCAAACCAGGTGAAAGAGGTATATTTTGCTACAGATATTATACACAGTGATGGTTGGGACAGAAGAAGCATGATGTTGGAGTTAAAACACGCAACTCCAAAGACCGTTTCATCATGTTTTTTCTCTATGCGTCAGTGGGGGTTCTCTCATTCTCTGGACAGCCTAGGCCAGCGACTCGCTTTTCAGAATACAATGGTACCTCGGGTTAAGAACTTAATTCGTTCTGGAGGTCCGTTCTTAACCTGAAACTGTTCTTAACCTGAGGTACCACTTTAGCTAATGGGGCCTCCTGCTGCTGCCGTGCAATTTCTGCTCTCACCCTGAAGCAAAGTTCTTAACCTGAGGTACTATTTCTGGGTTAGCGGAATCTGTAACCTGAAGCACATGTAACCCGAGGTAAACACTGTATTACTTGTTCTACCCTAACACTGTTTCCAGAAAATCTCACAAGATCTGGATATCATGTATGAATACATGGAAATAAGTTTGTATAAACATCTTCAATGAACCATCTACTAGTTAACTTGTTTTTCTCCTCACAGAAATGGGCATGTAGCCCAGGCCTGGCCTCCCCTGGAGCTCTGGACCTGGGTAAGCCAAATGTACCCACCCATCCTCTTACTTGGGCCCGGCTGATACTGCACAGATTTAAGTTTGTTACAGAATAAACTTGTGGTGCACTCCAGTAATGTCGGACTGCAGCTCCCATCATCTCTGATCACTGGCCATGTTGGCTGTGGCTTGTGGGAGTTGTGATCCAAAAGATCTGGAAATTTGGTTCATGTACCAGGCTCTCATCCTGACCTTTTGCCAGGTCGAGGTTGGTTTTTATTATAAAATCGTGGTGCTGTTTTCTAGTATATAAGCAACTACTCTGGTTAGAACTATTGTATTGTTCTAACTTTGCACACTGCATTGCTAAGGTTTGCGCAATGTTTATTGAGACTCAGCAAAGTAAAATTTTAAAAGAATACATAATCTAGTAATTCTAAGCAAGTGTCGGTTTATTTTTAACATTTATCTAGAGGAAACAGCCACATTCCCATTATTTCCAGAAAAACACACTCCAGGCAACAAATCATTGCCTTTTAATTATTGCCTTTCCAATCTAGGGGCTTAACATATCACGGAAATAAAACACCCCACGGCATTTTATGGGAGAAGGGCCCAAAGAGGAAGTGAAAGCACGTGGATAGTCCCTGCTTGATTAAAGGACTTTTACAATGGTTTTATACATCTCCAGCTGCAAACACTTTACTGCAAAATGTTTCCATACAACAAAAGAACATCCTTAAGGGTAATGCTGGCTACTGTTCATCTAACCTGTCTGCAGCATGTCTGGAGACGAAACTTTACATTTGCTAACACTGAATGCCAACCCTTAATCCCTCATTAAGTTATTCAATGCGACTTGACAGCCCTGGATACAAAAGTGAACTTCTTCCTTTCTTAAAAGCCCATTCAAAATGAATTAATGTATTAATTCAAAACAATTGAGAAACGTAATATCTGTGAACTAGTGCTGGCCACCAACAGTGCTAAGCAAGAAATGAGCACTTCCGACACCTGCAAGTTATTTAGCTGTTTAGGAAACAGCATTTCCTTGCATGTAGTAATAGCCAGGGATGTTTTATAAATGCTCATTTTATGTGTACGCTGAGAAATGCAGAGTAGGTTGAGAAGATATTGCATACTAAGATACACAAACGAGAATAAAGAAAACAAAGCACACAGGGCCATGATGGGAATCACAAGCTGCTGGGAATCCCAATTGGGGAGAGTATTGTTGCATTCATTTTTCATATTCAACTGGTTGGCCTCTGCGAGAACAAGGTGCTGGAGTCAGTAGCATAGCGTGGGCAGTTGCCCCGGGTGCAAATTTGCTAGAGGCACAAAATTCCTACACCCAGTGCTGCCTCAATACACTTGCAGCTTAGTTGAAGACGGCTTCTCCACGCAAACCAGGAAATGACCTCTCCAGACAACGGAATGACTCTTCTTTTCTTTTCTCTGCGGCTGCAACCTTCTGGGTGACATGGATGCCATTAGCCGTTGGATGTGCATGTGTACTCCCAGTGCTTTATTTATTTTAGGGGAAAAGGAACTGGTATTCACCATGAAATTATTACAGTAAGTGCCACACTTTTAATATTTGGGGGGGGGGGCTGCCAGTACTGCATACTCTTGAGTACAAAGCACTGCATGCATCCATCTTCAAATATCTGAAGGGCTGTCACATGGAAGATGGAGCAAACTTATTTTCTCCTGCTCTGGAGGGTAGGACTTGAACCAATGGCTTCAAGTGACAAGAAAGGTAAAGGTAAAGGGACCCCTGACCACTAGGTCCAGTCGTGACCGACTCTGGGGTTGCGGCGCTCATCTCACTTTATTGGTAGAGGGAGCCGGCGTACAGCTTCCGGGTCATGTGGCCAACAGGACTAAGCCGCTTCTGGCAAACCAGAGCAGCACACGGAAACGCTGTTTACCTTCCCACCAGAGCGGTACCTATTTATCTACTTGCACTTTGACATGCTTTCGAACTGCTAGGTTGGCAGGAGCAGGGACCGAGCAACGGGAGCTCACCCCATCGCAGGGATTCAAACCGCTGGCCTTCTGATCGGCAAGTCCTAGGCTCTGTGGTTTAACCCACAGCGCCACCCGCGTCCCTTTTGACAAGAAAGGAGATTCCCACTAAACATCAGGGAGAACTTGCTGACAGCAAGACCTATTTGACAGAGGAACGAACTCCCTAGGGAGGTGTTGGAGTCTCTTTCATTGGAGGTTTTTAAGCAGAGGTTGGGTGGCCATCAGTCATGGACTTTTTAGTTGTAATTCCTGCATTGCAGGGGGTTAGACTAGATGAGCCTCGGGGGTCCCCCTCTCAACTCTACAATTCTACGGCTCTATGAAAACACAACTATAACAAATTCAATAACCATCAGTTGCTCTTTCATGATACACAAAATCAGTTATGTGAAGCAACAAGCTCATAGTACCCAACAGTAGAGTCATCCACAATGCATGATGAACAAGCCTTCTGTTCAACACAGAACAAAAAATGACAGTGTAGCCATATATATATTCAACTATTCCATAATAGGCAGCCCAAGGTAGCTTTCCCTGGGAGTTCTTTCTGATCTAGCTTTCAGATTAATCAACCAAACCTGTAACTGGGAAGAATTGGGGAAGGGGGGATAATGGAGTTG